TGGTGCCGTATGCGCTTAACGTCTGTTTTATGCTCAGTTTGGGCAGCTTTTTTATATATAATTTAAATTTTTAAAAATATTATATTAAAAATTAATTTAAAACCGCTGGCTTAGGTTGTTTGATGGAAGAGCATGATTGGAACCCCCAACCAACGCTCGATTCTTTTCTCAAGTGGCTCACCTCCTTGAGAGGAGAGGGCAAGTGTGCGCCCAACATCTGTGGATTAGGTGACGCTAGGTTCCACCGAGGGAATAATTATGCCGTCATGCATCTCCTAAGATAATGAAAGCAGATAGATACGCTATTTAAAATAAAAATAAATAATAATAAAAAAATCCTAAATGAAATCTTAGCCGTGTGAAACTCAAGAATTTTGATTGCACATAACAAACTACGAGTAGATTAATTAATAAGAGCTACCCGATTGTCTACATAGGACAAAAAAGGCCTCCTCATAAATCTAGAGTCTATTAAGACAATGAGAGTAGGTTGTTAGCTAGTGTGAGAGCTAATATATCATAATAATAGAGAGGTGTGAAAAAGGGGGAAATGTCATGCTCTTGAAATATGAGATGTTAGGAACATGAAGGAGATAATAAGTGTAGCTTATTAGTAGGGGTGAGTAGAAGTCCTTAACTTGATGTTGAGATGGGAAGTGTTTGGCCATTCCTTAGTATGCTATAAGCGTTGATGAAGTTGTGGATTTTGAATGTTGTATGTGCCTGAGGTGAGATTTGATGTGGCCCCTATGTAAAAGTACCAAACATATTTACTGTTGATTAAATTGGCAAAGGGTGATGACATAGTGAGGATTGATGACTAGTATATCAGATATCATATTTGTACTAGTATTTTGGCTGATAAATATCCATATTTTTCACATATCTAGCAAATAAGAAGTTACTGTGGTTTGCAAATTTCATGATTATTGGGAGAAAATAGTATTTTAGAAGTATTATGAGGATGATGACCTTTGTTTTGGAGGGTAGAGAACAAACCAGAGTTGCTCTAGCTCTAATCTTGGAGAGTGATATTGCTGCCTCATTGAGCTGAAGGGATTGAAGGTCACATGACACCTTAATAGCCATATTGGTTTCCTCAATGTAGAGGAGAGAATAGAAGTCATCAATGCTCATACATTCAAGGCTGGGTTGAATAGATCTCTTGAAAGCTTGATATGTGGGTTGTAGTCAGTTTTGGGTATAAATAATAATATCTTTAAGTTTTGAAGGATTGTAAAACTTTAGATTTGACGAGGGATATATATTAAGTCATGATTTGATCTTTCATAGAGATAATGTATATTTTCTTTTATAATTGAACGAGGCGAGAGCAGGTGGTGGAGTGAAGTGTTTTATCAATGGTTATCCATAATTCATGATAGGAGCTGAGGCTGATGATATAGGAAAAAAAAGGTGGTGATATGATCAATTTTAGGTCCTTAGTTAAGGTACGATTAATGAACAACCAAGTGTGGTCAAAAGGGTTGGAAAAGGGGGAGCCATTGGCTTGGGTTATGTGATTATAAGGATAGGAGCTAACTTCAATAAGATGGCCTTCTAATCCTTTGCAATTGAAGATATTTAACTCTGCATGTTATTTAAGGTGGTTTTTTTTTTTTTTCTTTTTTTTCTTTTTTTTTTTTTTGAGTGAGTTATAGGTTAACTATGTTATTAGTTTTAGCATTAAGTAATGCGACTCAAGAAAATTCACATAATTAACACAAATTTTGGGAATTATTTAAATCAGAAACTTCTTAACTTAAATTCAGGATCCTTTGAACTTAAATTTTAGCAAACCTATAGCTTAATTGAGAGTCTAGATGAAACATTTGAATTATGTTTAGAAATTTCAAAATAAAGATTCATAAACTAAACAACTTTCAATTAAAAAATGCTTATTTTCAAATAGATCGGCTTGACGAATCAAACCAGCCCAAGATCACAATTCTGACATCGTTAAGCCGTAGGGCTGCAAGCAAACCAAACGTTCAGCGAACTTCTCGTTGCTCGGTTCGATTAAAGTTTGTTTGTGATCGTTTAACTAACTAAACAAACAAAACTTGAACAACATTTTTAATACTCGATCCTTAAATAAACAACTTTAAAACTAATGTGTTCGGTTCATTTATATTCACGAACAACATCATTTGAAGCTCATGAACAAGCTCGACATTAAGCTCGATAAGAAGCTTGATAAAAGTTCGATTCTTATTAGATTTAGAACTCGTGAATAAGCTTGATAAATATATTCATATAGAAAAATTATATTTTCATTTTAAATAGACAACTGCTTTTATTATAAACTTAAATTCACCTTATTTTATATTTTCAATAGAATGAATTTGTTCATGAATAAGAGATATTTCACATTTATCAATATTTACTAGATTATTTGTGTTAGATGTTCATGTACAAATATAAGATGAATCATAGATCATTTGTTCGTGAACGAGCTCATTTGGTAGCTAAAAAATACTAGTTATGTATATTTTCATGATCTTGCTCATTTGGTAGTTCAAGAACATTCATTAGATTTGTTCATGAACGTACTTGTTTGATAGTGTAAAAAAAAATTTCATTAAATATGTTCAGGAACATAACTTATTAAGGCTTGTTTGTTTAAAGCTCGATAAGCACTAAACGAATCAAATATGAACTGAACATGAACCAAACATGAACACCATTAATTTAAACGAATCAAACATAAACACAAACAATAAAGCTCGAATCAAACACGAACCAAACTTGAACATGCCAATAATAAATGAACTCAAAAATAAACACTAACATACTCGGCTCGTTTCGGTTCATTTGCAACCCTGCGTTAAGGCATTCAAATAATTTATAAACACTCTATCATCAATAAGATCAATATGGATTGTACGATGAAGTGCTTTGAGTCCTGGCCAAATTGATCAAATTGTCCATATTAAAAAGCCTATAAGTAGGGATCCATTATCTACAGAGGAGGGAGATTCACTACCTGAGAAAATTTAAAAACTCCATACTTTTTATTATTATTATTGCCGACGACCAAATCTAGCAATCACCACCCATTTTTTCTAGATTTCTATCGAGGCTCCATTATCCAACAATCACACTTCAGCGATAAGAAACTTGGTCTCTTGTCTCACCTCCCTCCAGTCGTACTATCCTTAGCAATCTTTGTACATACAAATCCAAACTTAAATCTTATGGTACTCTTGCCCATTATATTTGTGAGACCTCATTCCCTTACTGTTCCTCTCTGGCTTGGATTTTCCTCCAAGAATCGTCCAGGACGATAGTGAGATCGGCCAGGCCGATCTGCACTGTTCAAAATATCATCCTGAAATAAGTTCTGGGAACCGTCCAGGACGATCCATTTTGGTCTGATCATCCCAGGACGATTTGGCGATCGGCCGGGCCGATCAGCCTAATGATATAAGAAAATCATTGATTTTGATTCTTTTGTACTCAGGATAGATTTCAGTACTGGTGATTATAATTTAGTTCCTGAGTATTGTATATGCCTTTTTGAGATATGAATCGACTGTGTATTGATGTTTTAAATTTCATAGATGTTTGATAGACTGGTTAATTGAAGGTTTTAGATAACTCTGGTAAATTGTTTTGGGAATGGATTGACATTCTGTCCAAGTTAGATCTTGGGGCATCACATCTTCAGGCTTCAGATTTCTCTCTGTTTTTCTCCTTTGTATATTGCCAATCTCGAGGTTCAAATTCAGACATCAATGCTTAACCTCTTTCACACTTAAACAATAATTTTATATTAGCATCATATAATATATTTTAAACTTTTAAAATTGTTTTTCATAAATTTATTTATATTTTAAAAGTAAAAATTTTTAGAAAACTAACAATTTTAATTTAAAACTAATAAATTGAGCTCAGCATTCAAGTTAAAATTGAGTTTTTCAAACAAGAATGAGCTTACAATTTTCTTAACGAGCTCGGTTCAAGCTTAGTATATTAGTTTTAGTCGAGCTTGAGTTAAAGTTTGAGTTATATAAGAATGAAACAAGTTCAACTCGATTAGACATATATTTGACTACATATATTTTACTCGACTCGATTCATTTACACCTCTAGAGTTTAAATAATTGAAGATCTAGAAAGCTCTACTTAACATTTGACCTCATGATCACCACCGGCCACTATCGTGCATGACTACTTTTGTCCGACTGCCATTTCGCTGCCATAGTTATCCAACCATCACTGGATTGTCAACCACTATCACTTAATTGTCATCGCTCAAATGTCATCATATGATTGTTGTCGTCTAACTGCCATTGTCTGGCCATCATCACTGCACTAACATCATTTAACTATTTCATCTTTAGTATTTCCCTCTTATTTGCAAAAAATAATTTTATAATCTTATCTTCTCTATTTGTAGGGATGTCAATTCGGGTCAATCTGTCTTTGATGGGAGAGCAATTTTTTGTATAATATTTACATAATGGATCATTTCATATAGATCAACACTTGTGTTTTTTCCTTTTTATATTTTTCAAGTTAAAATTAAATGTTTACTGCATACTCTTTTGTTATTTGTATGTATTGGATATTCATGAAAAGTTAAGGTGAAAAAAGCAATCTTTACCACTGCAAGTTATTTTAAATGCAAAATTAATTAATTTAATTATTTATAAATCAAATTATATCTAAATTAATAAAGCGCACATGCTTAATTATTCCCAACAAGGAAATCGAGTCTTTTTTTAATAAAACTTGGATAAATTCCACGGAAAGACTTTATTGCCACTTCAAATAAAGTACAAACGAACTACTATTACTTCCTTGAATTCAGCCCATATTCCGTAAATGTTCTAATCTTTCTCTCTAACAAATCAATTCACTCTCTCTTTCTGTCTCTTTGACCTTTTGTCCCCGAAATCCCGTTACGTGTCGTTGTTAACCGACTAGCTCTTCCCACCGCCCAAATTTCCGTCCGAATGGCGACGAAACTGGAGCACAACTTTTCAAATAGCAATTATTGCTTATAATAGTTCTTTTGATCTGCCGCCGCGACCAGCTTGCCGTCAGCGGAATCCGCCGTGGCAGGGCGGTGGTTCGCATTTCCGGCTTCCTCGAGCATGTGAACCACCGTCCTCATCGACGGCCTCATCGCCGGGATCCCGGCCGTGCAGAGCAAGGCGATCCTGAGAACCAGAACAGCCCGCTCCCGCTCTGCGGCTGCCTTGATCCGCCGATCGACGAGGCCGATCACGCTTTCCCGGCTTCTAATCCTTCCCGCCACCCACCGCACAATATCTTTGTCCTCGCCGTAGTCTATCTCCACCGGTTTCCGCCCAGTCACCAGTTCCAAGAGCACCACCCCGAAGCTATAAACATCGCTCTTCTCGCTTACTTTCCAAGTATATGCGTACTCTGCAAAAATATAATTAATTAAATGCGTATTAAAATTCAGATTCAATAAGATTGATAAAAAAATATAATCAATACAAAATCAATAAATGATATATTGTCACAAAATATTAAAAGTATGTTACTGTTTAACGGTAACATAAAATCAAAATATTTCAAGCAAAAAAAAATTTCTCCTATAATAATTCGCAAATTTTCCCATAAGTTTCAGGGGACTTATGATATTGATAGAATATACTTCTCAACGAATCAAAATAAATAATTTTGAAAAAAAAAGTGTAAATGACTTGGATGCTTACCTGGAGCAATGTAGCCGTGGGTACCGGCGATGACATGGCTAGAGGAATCCCTGACCGCATGATTGGCAGAGCAATGGAGGATCTTGGCGAGCCCAAAATCCGCAATTCTTGGTCGGAGCTGCTCGTCAAGAAGAATATTGCTCGACTTCACGTCCCGATGAAGAATAGGCCGATCGCAGCCATGGTGGAGGTACTCCAGCCCCTGAGCAGAGCCGACGGCGATCTCATGGCGGGTTTCCCAATCCAAAACCCCCAATTTCTCGCCGGCTTCAGAGTGAAGCCGATCCCAAAGGCTGCCGTTCGGAAGATACTCGTATACAAGAAGGCTTGAATCCTCGCTCGTGATGCTGCAGTATAGTTTGACGACGTTCACATGACGGATCGAGCTCAGCGTTCCAATCTCTGCTTCGAATTCCCTCGACCGCAACGACGAACGCCGCGAGAGCATGGCGGTGACACTACCTCTGTTGCGGCGCTCTGCTGCGGCGGCTGGATCAGTGGAATTCCAGATATGCTTAACGGCCATTGTCTTTCCGGTGCTGAGCACGATGCGGTAGACGTTGCCGGAGCCACCCTTGCCGATGAGATTCTCCTGTTTTATCGAATTTATGATCTCTTGCTCGTCGAAGGTTAGCACGCGGAATGACGTCATGTCCCATGACTCTTTAGAATGAAGTCCGCTATCGGCGCTTGAAATTGGCCGGCGTCTCCTGATTATAATGAAGACGCTGGATCCGGTGAGAATGACGGCGATGATGACGAGAAATATGGTCAGGAGTGTACGGAGCTTATCGGAATTGCTGCCAGAGGATGATGAGCAATGAGGGAGGAAGCTAATGCCGTTGGCGCAGAGGCCGGAGTTTCCGGTGAAACTATTGTTGAAGGCGTTGATGGAGAGAGCGGCAGGCACCTTGCCGGAGAGGCGGTTGTTGGATAGATCCAGCGAACTAAGCTTCAGTGAAGTAAGGCTTGTCGGAATTTCGCCAGAGAGTTGGTTACCGGAGAGATTTAGTGAGTTTAGGTTTGGGAGATTGCCGATGCTCGCTGGAATAGAGCCGGAGAGCAAATTGCTGGCGAGAGTTAGGGAACTGAGCTTGGAGCAGGATCCCAATGTGTCCGGGATCTCGCCCGAGAACATGTTCTGATCAAGAGATAGGCTATCGAGAGCATTCAATTTTCCTATGCTCGCCGGTATCTCGCCGCTGAAGTGATTCGATGTAGCATCAATAGAGACTAGAGCCGCCGCATCGGATAACTCTTGGGGCAGCTCGCCGGAGAATCGGTTGTTGGATAAGTAAAGCTGGTTTAATGAAACTGCCTTTCCTATATCCTTTGTAATCGGACCTTCTAATCCATTGGAATCAAGATCTATAATGTTAATATTGGGTAGACCCCAGATTCCGGGCGGAACCACGCCGGAAAGGGAATTATTGCTCACCCTGAACCGAGTTAATGAAGAGCAATTGGCATAGCTTGCCGGAATCTCACCAGAAAGCTCATTTTCTAGCATAAGCAGTTTCTTCATCATCCCCATCCGGCACATATCCGGCGGGATCGGCCCGGTGAGAAAATTCGAAGACACGTCGATGAAATTAAATTCAGACATGCTCCCGAGCTTCGCCGGGAGAGAGCCAGTTAGCCGATTACTGTAAAGTGATAGGTTCACCAAATTCTTAAAATCCCCAAACTCTGCCGGTACCTCGCCTGAGAATTCGTTATCGAAGAGCTGCAGAGAGACTAATTTATTAAGGAACGCAAGCTCGGACAGATCCCCCGTCAGATAATTACTGTCAGCGTCAAAAAAAGCCAGCTCCGACAAATTTCGGAATCCAACGGGGATTTTCCCGGTGAACGAGTTGTTGTATAACTCGAGCTGCTGTAGCTTATTGAGCTTCGTGATCTCCTGCGGAATATCTCCGGAGAGAAAGTTATCGGACACCTCAAAGTCGACGAGGTTAATCAAATTGCCGATCTCCGGAGGGAGCTGGCCGTGGAGATTGCAGACGGAGAGGTAGAGCGTGTAGAGGCTACGTAGCTTGGTGACCTCCGTGGGGAATGGGCTGGGTTCGAAGGAGTTGTCGCCGAGGCGTAGGCATTCGAGGGCGGTGAGATTTGTGAGAGAGCTCCATGGGAAATGCCCAGATAACGTGTTCATTGAGAGGTTGAGGACGCGGAGGCCGGAGAGTTGGGAGAGGTCGGGAACATCGCCGTCGAGGATGTTGTTGGCGAGATCGAGGTGCAAAAGGCCAGAGCAGTTGCGTAGGTCGGAAGTAATCTCGCCGGAGAGTTTGTTGGCTCCGAGGGAGAGCTTGGAGAGGGAACGGAGGCCGCAGAGGGAGGAGAAGGGGATGTTGCCGGCAATTCCGATTCCGGTGAGGTCGATGGCGGAAACGGAGTTGCGGGAGTCGCATGTGATGCCTGAGAAATTGCAGGGGAGGGAGGCCGACGATGACCAAGACTGGAAGTAGTTGGCGGCGGAAGTGGGGATGTTAAGTGAACTCTTGAAGGCGAGGACAATGTTGACTTCGTCGCCGGCGGCGGCTGCACCGCCGGCGAGGAAAGTGTGGACGAGGAGGGAAAGCAGCAGCCGAAACATTTTGGGTCAAGCCGAAGGGTGTAGTTGGGAGTGGGTGGCTTTATAGGAGGTCGAATCGCGCGACGTCGTCTGCGCATTCTGTGCAACGACGGTGGGACCATCTACGAGCTAAATACTAATAATGAGATTTTATAAAAATTATAAGATTTATATTTATATTGAAAGAGGGCGTTGCATAAATGAATAAACTAAAATTTATATTTATATCAAAATATATACGATAGATACTAACCAAAAGGATGCATTGAACCAATTTTTTCTCAATATGTATACAATAACATGCATTTTTCTTATTATTCTCATAGGAGTTTTAAACATTTTATATGTACCGAGAGCTTAATCTTTAAATAAAATTCAATTCTTTCAAAATAATATTTTTTAATTATTGCTTAAAATTTTTAATTCATCTTGAATAAATATTATTTACTTATTTTATAATTTCAAATTGTTTTAATTAAAATTTTTCATTATAATACAAGTTAAATTAATATTTATAAAAAGATAATTTAATTAATTATTTCTTATATTTTAAAATCATTAAAGCTTTTTCAGTTATTATTTTTAATTATACCATATCTCAAAATTTGGATCAAGAAAATTTATAACTAAATTTGTTTTGAACAAAAAATTATACTAAATATTATTACTAATTAAATTATGTAATTAAGTGCATTATAAAAAAATTAAATAAGCATAGTCACATGTTCAACGGACAACTTATTTGTATAGTCAACATCTAGTTAGAATTTAAAACTTTCAAAATTTATGTAAAAAACTTTAAAAGTACCGTAATAAGTTAGATGGGCAACTTATTACATTACACAATTACTTTTTTACATTTTTTTTTTCTAAATCCAATTTATACTTTTTAAATGAAAAAAATAATTAAATTTAATCAAAATAACCTCGCCTAATTTGACAATTTATTTCTCATGAAAATATAAGGTAGAAAAAAATTTATTTTAAAATATAAAGCACTTTGAGTGTTATTTTTATTAATGTTAAATACTTAAATTTTAGTTTATATATAAATATTTAGAATTTAAATATGCGATTAATTTTTAAAATATATATTCTAATTACACTACAAAGAAGCCTTAAGATGTAAAATTTTAATAAAATATCTTGCAGATTAATAAGGTTAATGTAAAATAGATACTCAATTGTCAAAATTAAATTATAAAATTAAAATATATTGTAATTAACAATGATATTAAAATTAATGTAAAAAAAACGTGGAGCACTGAAGATTATTGATTATTCTAAAAAATATATTAATTTCTTACCTAGGTTATTTTAATTAAATTTAATTATTCTTTTCCTTTAAAAATATAAATTTGATTTTAAAAATAAAAAATATATATATAAAAATATAATAATGTACTGTAGCAAGTAGCTCATTTAACCTGCAATAAAAAAAATTACAACATATTTAATCTTATAATTTTTATTTAATAATACTTAGTTTTAATTTTGAGTTAATTTGAAAGCAGTTGAATAGTGTCGAGAATAAATTATTATAATTTTTTAATGTACTTTAAAATATAAATTGATTTTTAAAATTGTTACACAACTTAAATTTTTTTCTGTAATTTCTACAAATTTTATGAGATTATTTATTTAGTTTGACTGTCTGCGGAAACTGAACGAGTGAAACTGTGGAGGTGTGGACCGCTGGCTGTCTGCGGCCGTCGTGTTTGACTTTGATGGGAAAAGAAAATGAAACGCATGGCTCTAACTCTAAAGTTGAAGTTTCGGAGAACGGGAGAACTGAGAAGGCGACTGCCTAGCGTTTTATAAAATTAATTCTAAATTTATTATGAGAAAATAATTTAGTTATTTAAGTTGTAAAACGTATTTTTTTTTTATAGAAATTTTTTGAAAATTAATCAGAAAGTTTCAAGAAAATAATATTATAATTATTATCTAAAAAATAATATAAAAAGAAAATAAAAATTATCTCAAATCGACTATTTCCAAGATAGAGACATTTTAGATTTGAGTTCCTTGGTAGAGTTTGAAATACCCACACCTCTTAAATTCTTGATCTCCAACATCAAGAATTTGGTTCCCACCCAACTCACTACCGAAAACTATGCAATATGGCGCCTGCAACTCCAACACTTCGCCGCCAATGGATTCGACGATCTTCTCACTGGACTCAATGTGTGTCCGTCGGAATCCTCCAAGACAGATCACAACCTATGGAAATTAATCGATCGAAATCTGGTACCAACTCTTCTTTCAACAATATCTTCTTCTGTTCTTCCCTACGTTCTTTCTCTTCAAACTGCCCACGAAGTTTGGATCACATTTGAACGGCGACTTCAACCAACAAACCGCTCACGGGTCATACAACTCAAAAACGAACTTCATCAAATTCAGATGAATGATCGAACCATGTACCAGTATCTTGATCAAGTCAAGATTCTCGTTGATAACATAGCTGCCGCCGGATCCAACGTTGATACAGAAGACATCATATTGTACATTCTGAACGGATTCCCCACTGCCTATAACCCGTTCAAAACAGCGATCAGGACTTCTCTAAACCCCATTACTTTAGATACTCTATATTCTTTGATATGCAGCGATGAGATTAATCTCCAACATAAACTCAGTTAAGAAAGCAAATCTCAATCGGATGTTGTCGCGTTCTACTCCAACCGCAACAACAGAGGCCGCGCAAATCGGTATCGTGGATGGAACTCAAATTCAAGACTCACTTCCACACCGAAGCCACAGAACGCCGCAAGAACATCCTCCACTAAACCGAACTACCAAATTTGTGGCAAAATCGGTCACGATGCTCTCAACTGTTGGCACCGGTGTAACCTACAGTACGCACCTCCTTCAAACCCCAAGGCCTTGGCGATGCAACGACAATTTTCTTCTACCGGCGATTCGATATTAGACTCTGGAGCCTCATCCCACTTAACTACCGATGCCTCCAACCTGCAGCATCCCACTCCATACAGTGGGCTAGAATCCGTTTTGATCAACAACGATACCTCTCTATCCATTCAAAATTCAGGACAAGGGATCTTGCCTCTACTAGATTTCTATCGTAAGCTGAAGCTTCGCAACATTTTTCATGTTCCTTCTCTTTCCCATAATCTCTTATCGGTTTCTCAGCTTACCACTGACAATAATATTTCAGTTTCATTTAATTCTAACGGTTTTCATATAAAGGATCAGCGGGACAATCGAACACTTCTCTGAGGTCCCAAATAGCATGGTCTGTACCAAATTAGGCTCCCCACTGCTTGTCGATCTACGGCTCTTCGGGCATCCAACAATCAAGCTGCTCTGTGGCACGCTTGACTGGGACATCCGCATTCCTGTCTTCTCCGCTCTCTGGTCAATCACATTCTGGAACTCGCCGGCTCCAATTCGTCTTCAGATGCATGCATCTCTTGTAACGTGTCCAAGAGTCATAAACTCCCCTTCTCCCCTAGTTTTTCTTCGTGTAATAAGCCGTTCCAGCTTGTCCACTCGGACGTTTGGGGTCCGACACCCGTGGCATCTTTGAATGGTTTCTTTTACTATGTCTTATTCATTGATGAGTTTTCTAAATTTTCTTGGCTATACCTGTTAAATTTCAAGAACAAAGTCTTTATAAATTTAAACAATTTCATAATCTTGTTAAAACCAAATTTGGCGCCATACATTTAGGTCCGATGGAGGCGGTGAGTTTACTAGTACTAAATTCAAAAACTATCTTCTCAGTCAAGGCATCACTCATCAAATGAGTTGTCCGTACACGCAGGAACAAAACGGAACAGCCAAACGGAAGCATCGCCATCTCCTAGACTCCACATGCACTCTTCTTCACGCAGCACATCTTCCTCCTAAATTCTGGGCTAAGGCCGTCACTACTGCAAACTACCTCATCAATCGTTTACATTCGGCTTCTCTATCTAATCGCACTCCTTACTATCTTCTCTATGGACATTCAGCCTCATATAGCCATCTTCACACATTTTGATGTCTCTATTTTCCTTAGAATAAACATGCCTCAACCAAACTTTTCCCTCGCTCCTTGGTATGTGTCTTTCTTGGCTACTCGTCTCAATATAAGGGTTGTCACTGTTTTCACATACCTACTCAACGGATCTATATATCTAGACACGTTGCCTTCTACGAACATCAATTTCCCTTCCAGTCTCTCCAACCTCAACATTCCATGCTTCCACCCTCCAGAAATCAAAAACCTCTTCTTCTTATTCCCACATCACAGGTCAGTCATCCCACAGCACAATCTCTTCCCATCAACAACACTTCACAAGCTCCACCTAACATCGTCCAGTCTCCGGCTCAATCTCAATTTGAGGCCTCAATACCAAACGATGAACTTAACAGTTCTCCACCCACTCAAATACATCCCATGCTCACTCAGCTCCGCTCAGGCATACTCAAAGCAAAGCCGATTTTCAACCTCTCGGTTGTTCCTACTCCTGCCCAAACTCCTACATCCTACAAACAAGCTTCCCAATGGGACCACTGGCGCTCCGCTATGTCAGCGGAATTCCTTGCTCTACAACAAAACGGAACCTGGTCGTTGGTTCCTCCTCCAGAAGGCAAACCTATTCTAGGTTGCAGATGGACATTTAAGACAAAGCTTCAACCAAACGGGCAGATAGATCGCTACAAAGCTAGACTTGTAGTGCAAGGTTGCTCTCAGGAATTCGGTGTGAACTATACATAAACATTCAGTCATGTTGCAAAGATGGTTACAATCCGCATCTTACTCGCCGTCTCCCTGCATCATCAGTGGCTGGTCATTCAACTTGATGTCGCCAACGCCTTCCTCCACGACGAAATATACATGAAATAACCAGTCGGATTTGTCGATTCTCAGCAACCAAACCATGTATGCAAATTACACAAATCAATCTACGGACTAAAGCAATCGTTGCGCCAGTGGTTTCAGAAATTCACCACATACCTGCATGATCTCGGGTTCCACTTTAGTAAAGCGGATCCCTTTCTACTCATCTATAATCAAAACAACATTCATATATTCATTC